AGCATATCTACATATGCCTCCATCTTGGTCAGAAGTCCTAAACTCACATAGTTTTCAAGGAACACCATTCAAACCTGCACTCTCCATGTGGCTTCTCAGCAATCCATGCTTAGTAGCCACACCAGCCCCTTATTGTAAAGAACAAAGCAGTGTCCCAAGGGAAAAATATCTGAGTTCAGCCACTTGTTGAAAGACGAAGTCTTTGGCTCACTTCCTGTGAGGACTTGAACAGACCAGGAAACAGAGGCTGAGATGTAGCTACCACCTGGTGGCCCTGCAGAGATCCTGGATGAAGGGATTTCCAGGATGGACAAGAAGTGCACATGACCATTCAGCTGCTGCAGTGACAATGAAGACTGTGTGTTGTAGAGTCAGGTTGCCACATTTCCAAAGGGATTTTAGGTTGTATTGGAATTTGAGTAATAATGTTCAATTTAAGAGGTGTTTTTTCCTTCTATTTGAAACTAAAGTATGGTATTTTTATGTGTTCTGATAAGTAAGGGAAGGACAGTGTATTCTGTCCTAGTCATCTCTTATATCTAACTACTTCTAACAGAAATGAGGCTTGGCCATGGCTTCACAATAGGATGCTGACAGTAGATGATACAATTGTCTTGTTTATACCAAATAGGATTCACTGAAACAAGAATTTAATGGCAATACACTTGATTGACTTTATCTTCCCTATTACCCAGTACAACTTAAGGCCTTCTTTTACCCCAGCCCTAGGTTACTTTATATAATCTGTGAGTAAATTCTTATTTTTTGTAATATTATCTCTTTAGTCAGTGTCTAATGCAGAATAGAATCATGATGCTCAACTAAACCAATGTTTGTGAAAGCCCTTAAAACAATTTAGATATTCAAATGCTAATTTAATAAAACTAAAAGTGAAAAAAAGCACAATGTTTAAAACATGTATCAAATATTTTTAGGGGTTTTTTTGGTAGAAAATAAACTATTAGGGTTTATAAAATACAGGTAAAGACTTTAGGACTCTTGCGTATTGCCCCAAGTCCAATTTTTAACTCATCCCTTGATCAAGACAGAGATGGATCCATGGGTTTATGTTGCAAGAGGTAAACAGGAGGCAGAAAGGGTCAAAGAAAAGTAGAATTCCATATGAATCCCAAAGAGAAGAGCAAGATTGTTTCTCACCCTATAAGTCTTTGTTTCTGAAAAGAAAAAAAAAGAGAAGAAAAGAAAAAAAGAAAGAGGGAAAGAATGGAGATGAAGGATGAGGTTTAAGTCTCACCTTGCAGTCTACCTGTTAACACCTCATTGGTACATCATTAAGATGAATAAGTGGAGGTTTAGGGTTCCAGGCTTTATTTATTTCCCCTTAAATTCAAATGTCTTTCCAAGAGCTCCTGGACTTTATGTTATAATCTCCAGATACTTGGCAATAACTTCCAGCTACCATAACCTGTTTCATAATTTTTTTGGCAGTGGTTTATAGAGAAAATGTTAAAAGAGGAACAATTGCTATGGAGGTGAAGTTAAATATGTCAAGAGATGAAATAGTGAAAAAATTAAGCAAATTAATGATTAGAATCTTTGCTTTTGAAGAATATGTTTTTAAAATGAGGGAGATACTATATTTTTATTTCCATCTCTCATATATATATATATATATATATATATATATATATATATATATATATATATTACTTTGTGTATTATGAAACTGTGGTTGATAATATGGTAAACCATTTCTGTTATATAATAGCAACCCATAAATACTAGAGATATCTGAATTGTGAAGACATGTCCTACATATCTTTACATTTTGGAATATTACTTTTTAGGACTGCCTGCTTTTTGCCTTCCTTCATGTCTTCAGTTGGACTTTATTTTAAAATATTTATTTACTTCCTTTTTATATGAACTGCCATGTAGAAATATAAAGCTAAATAAAATGAATGCCTGTATTAGAGACACTTGCCAGTAGAAAGATAAGAGAAAAATGAAAGGTAGTATACTAAAGAAGTAAGGCTATGAGAGCTTCAGGAATCCAAGAGACCTACTAGTTAGGCTCATCGAGAGAGGCTTTGTAAGGGAGATGTCCAGCCTACTTCTCATATCTATTCATTTACAGCATGGGGAAAAAGTAGGTTTACAGTTGTTTCTATGGAAAATAATACAATAATTAATAGACAATAACACAAAAATAAACCCTGTGTTTTGCATACTCACAACTGTAAACCTCCTTCTGCCTGCCCTCTATTTACGTTTTTCATTTATTCATTAAAGATACTTTTGAGGATCGTCTATATTCCAAGCATGTTTGCAGATGCTAAGAGTTCAGAGGTAAATAATACAACTTCTAGTCTGTGTTTTCATAGATCTTACCAGAGGAAGACATATACAACTAACAAGATTATATAACAACTAAATAATTGTGATAAATGCTCTGAAGCCCTTGAAGATTCTATGAGTGCATGTGGTAGGAGACCTAATTTACTGATCTCAGGGAATGCTTTGTTGAGGAAGTGGCATTAAAACAGCCTTGAAGAATGAGTAGGAATTGGGCAAATGAGGGCCAGAAGGAAGAATTTTGGCATAGGTGGGACAGTATGTATAAAGATCACAAGGCTGGTTTGATTTTGGTCCTGTGAATAGACAGCAGGCTTTTGTGGGAGAAACAGAGATCAGGAGGGAGGTGTAAATGAGATGAAGCTGGAGGGGAGGGGAAGGGCCTATATATATATGCTGACCTTGAGAAAACTTGATCCCATCAGTGAAGTGTCAAAGGATTTCAGCAAAAGTAGCTGCTGTTAAGTGGCAAATGGAATAGAGTGAAAGTCAGGTAGCCAATGACAGGACTAGTTCAGAAGCCCAGATTAGAGATAATAGTACCTTGGATTGTGTATGGTTTTGGCATTGGAGAAAAGAAGTAATCCAAGACTGGATAGGAAGTGTCATAGGGTCAGTAAGATTTCCTGCAGGAGCAATGGTGGATCACCATGTCCTTTCCTGAAGTGAGGAATGCTGTGTACGGCGTAAGATCATGAATTCGAATCTAAGGCATCCAAGTGGAGAGTTTGAATGGATAATTGAATAGACAAGTGTGCAAGTGTACTGCTCAGAAGAGAGATAGCACTAAGGATGAAAATTTGAGAGTCGGGCATCTAGGAATAGATTTTGAAGCCATTTGAGTCTTAAGAATGGATATCATTTGGACCAGCAAAATGATATATTGGGTTGGCCAAAAAGTCCATTATGTTTTTTTCTGTAAAATAAAAGACACATTTTTTCATTTTCACCAATAACTTTCTTGATTTGGATATTTTGAGTGTGTCAGCTATCTCCCACCAGTGGCTTCTAGTGGGTAGAGGCCAGGGGTGCTGCTAAACACTCTTCCAGTGCATAAGGCAGGCTCATAGTAAAGAATTATTTGGTCAAAATGTCAATAGTACCAAAAAACTTTGCAAACAACTTTTGACACATTTGATCAGTCACAGCACTTTCTCCATGCACTGCACAAGTCTTTTTTTTTGTACTTCAATTGAGTTTTTACCTTTCTTGAAATAATGAAGCATAATATGCCAAAAATGTTGTGTATCTTCTTCTACCTTCAATGTTAAGCTGGCTGCACAAAAATTCACCAATTTTGATAATTTTTTTAATGCATACTGATAAGACAGCTGTCACAACACAATCTAACAAAACTGTTTCGAATGAAGTTAAAGACAACTAAGCACTGCCACAGCCATCATATGGAAAAAACGTAATGGACTTTTTAGCCAAGCCAATATATTTTGTAGACATAATTTTTACCACATGGTTTAAAACATTTATGTCAGTCTTCTGCATAATATTAGTATACTCAGGGACAAATATTTTCCATTTTTGAGTAACATTATTCTAATATGATACTCTAAATCAAAGGGAGAATAAAAAGCATTAATTAATTAAATTTACTTCATAACACAAGTAGTTGGTACTTATCTGTTCTTGAATAGGTACTTATTTTTGCTTTTGAATATATTAATATAGACTCTTGCTCTCACTTCATTTCCCCAGAAAATGTATTTTCATGGTAATTTATTGGAATATTGTTTAAATAATTTCTTATGTTAGACAATTTTGTAAGTAACATGTGTTCCCCCCAAGAAATTGGTTTAAGGGTACAAATCTTTACAAAATTAACCCGTTATAATTATCATGTAATTTGTTTCTTTAATAAGTCCTATTTTATGTATCTGTAGTAGTTCATTTCATCAAAGTTTTATAACTTTCCCATCATAGGGTCTAACTAAAATATGAAATATGTTAACTTGTGGAAATTTAAAAGCAGGTTTTATTCATTAAGCATCTCTAATTTCTACTAAAGGGATTCCAATAGACTTATTCATTTTTTAAAAGAAACACTTTTATTGTCCCATGACATTATAAGACTTACAATATCCATGTTGCTTACAGATTGGCATAAATTATGAGAAAAGTAAAGGACAAACTCTTTCTGCCCAGTGTCGAAGAAACTGCTAAGCAGAACAGGCAAGCAGTTGGGAAAACTTCCACTTTATTACAAAAATGTAACCAGATCTAAAGTGAGGCTAAAATTAGTAATGAAATAAATACACAGTTTAAAGACTCAGCTCATTTTATGGCTTCAATGATAAACTTTAAACCTCTACTGAATTGAATTATTTGTCTAAAAATACTTAATAATGATTTAAGATACTGGTAAAATTAGTGTTTTAAAACTTTAATCTAAAGTTTTAAAATATTTTTAAAAAATATTATCACCGTCGTGCACCTTACACATTTACTAAGCCCAGGCCTGAGCACTGATCAATCCAGAGGTTGACCCTTTTTGCCTGTTTATCCAGATACACAGGATGAAATAGCTCATGTGTACTCCTGGGAGTTTGTGGATATGTATTATTTCTCTATTTGTAAACTTGTTTTAAAAAGAATGCCTTTGTTGAGTAATCATCTTGTCATCTGACGTGTATCATCACTCAATCTTGTGCTGTGTTTTCTCTGCCCTGAAGGAATTGCCTACGATCCTCTGATGCTGAAACACCAGTGTGTCTGTGGCAGTTCGACCACCCACCCCGAGCACGCTGGACGGATACAGAGCATCTGGTCACGGCTGCAAGAAACGGGGCTGCTAAATAAATGTGAGGTAATCCCGCATTGGCCACACTCTTTACTTACTTAAATAAATCATGTAGAGAGGCCAGTATTCATTAGAGCAGTTGTAGAAAAATTTTAACTCTGTAGCCCCAACACCATGATGGAGGAACCATCATGGGCACAAGTAGCGTAGAGCTCGTGACCTGCCTGGGTTGGGCACACAGTAGGTTCTCAGTCAGTGTTGATGGACTGAGCAGCTGCCTGATGTGTGTGAGTGCTAATATTGCAACATTTTTTCTGTATACATGCTGATATTGATATTTCTAAATAGGTACCATTTATTGAGTTAGTTATCTGAGACGCTCTTTGCAAACTGTTAAGTGCTAAGTAATTGTTATTTCTTGTTATAAGTTATACTGAACTCAGATACAGGCCAGTTTTGTCTCATGGAAATGAATATATTTAAAAGATTAACTATCCTCTTACCAAGAAAAGTCACTTCTTTTTGTTGAAGTTGCTGTTGTGTTTATATTTTTATAGTAGATGTTTGAATACTTTTATCAATACTTCTTTAGACTCATTTCTGTAGATTCCTGATGAGTTCCATTGGTTATTTAGAAAAAATCTGTTTGTTTAAGCTTTCAAAGGTTAAAAGCAAAATTGATAACAATTCCAAAAAACTATAATTTTCAAGTTTGGAAATACATTAAATGGATAATATTTTGATTATAGTTATGTCATAAGGAAACTGATACATTGAGACCATATTAAGTTCACTATACTTCAATAAAGACACAATCTTTTTGACTAATTTTGAGTTAATTAATTTTTGGCAACCCAAAATGAAGTCAAGAAAATTTCTGATCATAGCCAATTCAGTTTAACGTGAAACTGTAAAATATTTCAGTTGAAATAACAATGCCAAAATGGACAGAATGTTTTTCAGAGTTAGGTACACTTGTTTGTATTTGATAGTGTGAATTACATCAGTATGATCCTTCTCTGCAAAATGGTAAAAATAACTGACTTTTGAAGGTGAAATCATTCATTCAGGGCATTCATTTCTGATGATAAATTATTTTCTGTATTGATTTTCTCTTTTGAAGATGAATAATATCTTGCAGGGCAAGTAAATGGTTATTTTCTTTATATCAACTCATGGATAATGTCTATGGGTCATTCAGCAATTGGGAGTGTGAATCAACACACCAGAGCATTGTATACAGACTTGGTTTTGCAAGTTTTATTATATATTTAAAATAGAACTAGCAAATGTTTTTTCATATTTGAAGTTCTGCTTTTGACTAAATGTATTCTTTACCAAAGTGAAGGAATTTGAACTAGATTTATTTCTCTGATCCTTTCCAGAGCAATATTCATCTTTTGCTGGCAGCATCCATATTGTATGGTAGAAGATTTTCATACTCTTTGCTAAATTTTAGAGTTACTGATAAAGTTTTCATGGTTTCGATAATGCAGTTTGGAGGCTGTCTACACAATCCCATTTGGAGTACATAAACCAGCAAGGGGACCTGTTTGGGGTAGACTGATCTTAATGGACATTCCTTCATGTGGACTTCCCCATCCACTTTCACACCCACTATAAATAGTTTCCAGCTTGGCAATCTTTCTGTGCTTTTGCCAGCTGAGGCATTGCTGCTGATATTTTTTCACTTTCAGGTCTTTATCAGTTCCTGGAGGCTTACCCCAACCATTCCAACTTAGTAGTGGCTGATCACAGCATCCAAATGCATTATTAGATTGTGGTATTGCTTAAATCTTCTGCCTGAAGAAACACTGTTTATGAACAGAGCAAAGTGCAGAAATATATAGAATGGAATGTGGTCCACACTGATCTCAAAAACCTGTTAACATCCCTATCTGACCAGTCATCCTCTTCAGTTCCTCATACATCACATTATTTTACTCACGTATTATTTGAAACCACAAAAGTTAATTTAGACATCACACTGACTGATGTGATAGCACACCCAGGGTGAAACGTCAGAAGCTTTGTGGGGTTGACGAGAATGAGTAAGTCTAGCCCCAGACTAGAAAGCTAAATCAGAGTGTCTCATTAACAAACAATGTACTTGAAAGCCCAGAGCAGCAGATTTAATCTTTTTTTATTCTTGTTGATTCTATTACAATTTTCCCAGTTTCCCCCCTTTGCCCTCCTCCGTCCCATCCACCCCCTGCTCCCACAGTGCATTCCCACACCATTGGTCCATGTCCATGGGCCAGATCTTAATGGAGACCAAGCACAAAAGTCTGATCCAAAAGTTCTCAATAATGTAAACAGAGCATGCTTTTTCTCAACATAGTTTGGGAGCAGTTCACTAGGTGTTTGCTTTCTTAAGTGATGAAATCATTGCCCTATGTATTTATTTGCTCCTACATTTAAAATATCTATGACTTTATGCTGACCTAATCCCAAATATAAAATGGAATTTCTAAACCCACTAAAAAACAATTAACTTTAAGACATCTAGGAATGTAATGTTATGTTACCTCTGTGTGAATGATTTTAGAGACATACAGTAGACTTTTTGGAAATGATCATTAGCTTAACAAATGTAATCCTTTTATGGAGGCTTTTAGCTTCCATGTAAGATAAAACATAGTACCAAAAGGTCTAAAACATAGAACCAAAAGAAACGTGACTTCTTCCTGATTGTTTCTACCTGAGAGTGGGGGAGGAAATGAAATAAAAAAGGAACATACAAAGATTGTTGCAACCCAGTTCCGCCCATTCAGAAATAGTGAGTCTATTCCCATAGCCTGTACTTTCCCCAGTAAACACAGTTGAAATAGTTGATACATGTTTATTGTGGATTTTCTTTAAAGTTTTTGGCTTGACACCTTAATTCTAATGTACATTCATTGATATATTATTAAACTCTACTACAAGGATGCTAACCTTTCTACTCAAGCCAAATTATTTTGAAAATATCAATGCTGTCAGGGTGGGTGGGGGGGACCAACAACCCCAGAAACATACAACAAACCTTTCAACAATTCACCAAAACTCCTTAAAATCAGTTGCTAAAAAGCCAGGAGGAAAGTACACCATGAATGCAAGTGATCAGGTACAGGGGGATACATTATCTGGTTGAAAAGTAAAGAAGCTTCTTATGCTTAAGAGCTCCCTGGTTAGTGTTTATGAGACTTTTAAAGAAATCAAGGCCAATGACAGTATCTTCTCATTGAACTTGACGTTTTCAGTCCAAGAAAAGAAGTTAGGTTCCAGCTTAGATGTGAATGAATATTTACCATGGTGGCCCAAGGTCTTAAGGAGAATCAGGTCTGCCTTTCTAAATGGTCTAGGTAAGACTATCAGGCAGTTAAAGTCCAGCCCTGTTCCTTGGTTTTGTCTACAGCAAGCATTCCCGAGAAGGCAACATCTGTGTGCGTGGGACTCCAGGGACTCGAGCACCAGCCCTGGTGTCTGAGTTATCACTCTCTCTTGACTGATATGGAAAAATTCCTCTCTTGGTCATGAAAACAAGAACTCAACTCAATTGTTCTGTTAGATTTTGACAGAAAGGGGAATAATCAGGTAGGATATAACACATCCAAGTTGGCTGATGTATTGTTTCTCAATGTCCAGATAGCAGTTTGCCATCTTTGAACACAGCTTTCCTGCCATTGTCTGGGTAGCCACCCATAGTCAGGGATCAAACTGTGCCTTGACATAAGGAGTTGACAGACCTCTGGGGACATACCTGGCCAGCAAGCAGAGACCTATGGCTAGGTAAGTGGCTTTCATTCATGTACAGAGCTTTAGTTCTGCTGGAATACAGAGAAGAGGCAGCTTTCCTCAGTCAACAAGGGTAGACAGTTTTGCAGTTAAACAATGATGATGGAAAACATGACAATTTGAAAACATTGAAAGGGCTCAGCTGTTTCAGAACAATAGCCTTACCCACAAATCAAACTTATGTATTGTGTCATTTCATTTGGCAGTGTAGAAAATTAACCACATGGGATTCTTCAAGGGTTATTTTTTTCACATTAGAGTTGACCTTCGTCCTGCCATTAATTATCTGTGCTTTTGTCAAATCATTTAACCCTACTGATCTTTGGTTTTCCCATGTGTAAGACAAGACTGTTAAGATGGATTTTCTAGGATCTCCTCCAGCTCCATATTGTATAAAATTAGATGGCTAAGGAGTTCGTTTAGAATATAACACTTCCTTTGGTTAAGTGTAGACAAAATTTTTAGGCTGTTTTAGTAAACACATTGCTTTCAGTTGGTATGTGGTAGTGTAAACTGGCTCTCCTCACTAGTCCTGCTTATTAGCCAGAGAAAACATGAGTCCTCATTATGTTAGATTGTAGTGGTTGCGAGGATTAACTTCCTTTGGCATGATGTGGCTCTGCTTTTAAAAAATTGAGATGCTCAGTAGCCCTTCATGCCAATATCATTCCATGTTTCCCCTCTTGAGCTATCCATACTTAGTTTAGTGATTTGGTTGAGAGGAAAAGCAAAACCAGCAGCTTTCTTGTCACTGTAAGAAATAGCTCTGGAGGGGTCATTTACTCTCCTCTTGAAGAACAAGCTCTTTGACAAGGTACTAGGTTTCTCAAGTGTGCGTGCCCCTGAAGGAAAGAATGCACTCTTCTGTGCTTAAAACATCTCAGACTGACCCGTCATCTGCTAGAAATGCACTTGCAGTTGTTTTTCCGAAACTGCTCATGACTCTCAGCCCCACCAAGCCACCCACAGACATTCGCTTGCTCTCACATTTGTTTTGAGAATAATAACATTTTATAATGCTTTTGTTGGATTCCACTTTATGTGGAATTTGCATTGCTTCTTTGTGACTAGGGCTGAATAACTTTGTTTTGCTTAATTCCTAAGTAAAAAAGCATAAGCAACATACTATGCTGCAGTGTTTTAACTCTTGTGTTCAAGTGCCAACTCAAAGTAATTACAAAACAATTCCCTGACATGAAACCAAGCTACTGCTGCCCCTCTGGGACTTCTCCCCAGTTCCAGTGAGAGAAAAGGAGAGCAGGTTTAGTGTAAAATCATAGGATACCAAG